TGACTTGATGTGCCACAATCGAGCATTCTCTACATTCGGAGGTCTCGATGGAGAACTTGGTGGTGCACGTCGTCAAAGCATCCGCTCGCATCTCGGGGACGAACGTGGCGCGGCCGTGTTCGACGAGGTCACGTCGTCAACGCTGGCTTCGAAGGGCGGCGCGACACAGTGTGATCGGGGAGCTTACAGTAGTGACAGATCTTTGGGTGCTCGCCCGCGTAGTGTCCGGATTCATGGCAAAGGTTGCAACGCACGTGTTTGCGAGGGCAGTCAATTGATCCATGCCCAGCGCGATTGCAACGCCCACACTCCTTTACTCCACTTGACGTGACGTCATCGGGTTTGGTCGAGATCACGAAAGGAGCATAGCCCAGGTGAGTCCGCTTGTTGTTTTGGTTGGACTGTGGCTTCATGACAGGTGGGGAAACTGGCTGCGTTTGAACGGGTGCGAAGCCATCGAGTATGAAGCAGCGTAATGTGACGGCTGAGTCGGTTGGATTGGGGCAGCGTATCGAGGCGCGGCGTTGGACTTCATGAACGCCTCCAGAAGAGTTTGCTGAACGCGGTCGGCCTTCTCGATGTGGGTAACAAAGGCTTGCTGTTGTTGCTGCTGTTGCTGCGTCATCAAGGCCCCAAGGAGCTTTTCGAGAGTAGACTGATCCTCGAATCCAACCTTGGATCCACGACGCTGGATGTCCGGCGACCGAGGGGGCGTGCGCAACGACGAAAGTGTGGACGCCGTGGTCGAGGCCGACTCCGATCGCACCATGCGCGGGAGATTCGGCGGGTTGTCCAGGCGGATTTGTCGCGATTGAAGTAGCTTCATGCAATCCGAAATCGACAGGAGTTCTTTGTCGGTGTTTTCCAGGCAGGCTTCGACCAGAGGGTGTCGTACGCCTCGTTGGAAGATCGTCACGCCTTGCAGAGCCGGGATGTCGACCTCGTCCAAGATAGTCTGGAGTCGAATGGCGTACGCCCGCACAGATTCGCCTTCATATCGATCGGACTCTTCAAAGAGACGATCGATCATCTCGCGCGCCGTGCGGCAACAGAATTGGTCCATGAAGTCGGCCAAGATCTCGGTCCAGACATCGCCATTCTTGGTCTTGGAGTAAGATATCCACCACTTGTTCAGATTGGGGTGAGTCTTGTCAGCACTGAGCTTGAGTCCCATGAGTAGTTTCCGTTCTTCGTCGTCAAATTGGCAACGAGTCGCTTGGTCCAAGAGTTGCTTGATAAAGAATTCTCATTGGGCTTGTTCGTCGGACGTGGAAACTGAGGTGTACTTCACGGCGAGTCCAAACGATTTCGAGTGTTCGGAGGCCAGTACCGCGTCCTTAACGTCCTCGAGCTCAGTCGTCATCTTAGACATAGCTGCCTTGAGTTCCGCGATGAGGGTCGGAAGGTCGTCTTGCTTTGGCTGGGGACTGGCTGCAGGTGTGGACGGGTAGTGTCCGCAGGTAAGGTTTTCGATTCGAGTTTGTCGAGTCGGGCAGCAAAGTCGAGTTGTTGCTGATCGATTCGTGTTTCGAGCAGCTGGATTCGGTTCTGAAGTAACCCCTTCTCGTTCGAGAGAGCGGTAACAAGCTCTTGGAGTTGGGTATTCGACTCCTGGAGGGCAGCAATGTGCCGGCGGGATTCGTCGACGTGTAACTTTTGGTTCGAGGCGCTTTGGTTGAGGCCGCGTCCGAGTGATTCGACGCGATCGCAGAGGCTCGAAAGTGTAGTCGAGATGTGAGCTTCCTGGGCTGGGAGTCCGCTCTCGAGTTGTTGTTGCAAGGGGAGCGCCAAATCGGAAATTGCTATCTTCTGTGAGTTCACCGCAGCTTCAACCAGATCGCGAGGCGTTTCGCGGTCCCGAAGTAGTTGAATATCCTGACACAACTGCGACGTCAGGCTAGCGGCCTCAGGATATTGCTGGCGAAGTTGAAACACTTCCTTGTGCAAGTTCGATAACTGCGCGGCGAATTCCGAACGGGTAGTGTGTAGATCGTCGTTCAACAGGCTCGTCCTCTCCGAAATCGGACGAATAGAGTCCGATAAGCCCACCGATATGAGGTTCTCTGTGTCCGACAAGCGACGCGCCAATTCCCCAAGTCTGTTGTCATGGTCAACAGTCGAGGCCCGCAACGTCGAAAGTTGGTTGGTGGTTTCGCGAGCGAGGTTTGTGATTTCGGGCTCGTGCATCATGGTCCAGTTTTGTAACGCCTCGATGCGGTCGGAGATTTCCAGCATAATGGTGGTCAATGGAGAAGGAGTTTGCTCTTCCTCAACTTCCATCTCGTCCGTTTCACTATTCGTCAGGGCGTGGTGTCGCCATTCCTCGATTGGACCCATGTTGACGTCGTCAGTAGGAACGCCAACCAGTAAATCCAAAGCACGCTCACTGTCTCTCTCTCGGGCTCGATCAGTGACCGTAACAAGTTGGTCGCTTGGACTAGCTTCCCAAACAAAAGCAGGTGGGCCATGCGAAGCCTCAAGGCGGGCCACGCTTCCCACAAAACCACTGCTCAAGTCAAGGTCGGCTCGTGAGTCAGGCGTCGTGAGGGTCAGGTCGGTCAGGGAAACTGGCGGGGCAGGGGGTGCTTCCAGACTGGGCATCGAATGTTGGCTCCCATGGGAGCGGTCGAAGGGCACTACACTCGCTAAAGCACGCTCCTCGACACCCGGCGCCTCCAACAGACCGTCCCCTCTACGATTCAAGGCACTTGTATGCGGTACAAAAGGTGTCAGCGTGGTAGGGTGGTAGGTCGCGAGAGTCCCAGTTCGGGCGACGAGCTGCATCTGGTGGCCAGGAAGTTCTTCGGCTGGACGACGGACAATGGCCCTCGTGTTCGAAGGTACAAGTACGGAGTCGGGAGCGGTCGACAAGTCCATGTCTGAGCTCGTAGGCGTCATCAATCCAGGCTCGAACGCGGTTTCCAATCGGAAATCCGTGCCCGAATCATGCCCGGTTATCGAGGTTGATGTCGCTACGGAGGCCGATCCTTCATCCAAGTCGAAGTTGAGAGTCTCGTCGAAGACTTGGTCTTGCGCCGAGAGTGCGGGTGTGCTTGCCCGTCGTCTGGTTGCAGGGTTGCGACTTCCTCCGAAGGGCTTCGAGGTTCAAGAGACTCCTCGCTGTCGCCGATCGAGTGATTTATTCCGTGACCCGAGGTGGAGTCCGAATAGAACAGGTCGTCGATCAATTCTTCGACGAGGAAGGCATCGGGGCCCCTTGCTCAGCGCGGGTGCGCTTTTCAGGTTCGCGTTGCTCGGGTAAGTTCGCGTGATGTTGGATTCGGTAATCCAAGTCTCGTTTGCGCTGCAGCGCGCGCGGCGAGTCCGCGTCAGTGACACTGACGTCCATCGACTCAGCTCCGTTCGTCCCGTAGGCATCTCACAGCCGTCGGCTTCGAGGCGAGGCTGGTCAGGAGAGGGATCGTTTGGCCTTCCGGTGTCCATGCTTACGACAGTCTTGATTCGGCAGGAGAATACCCTGCTTCTCCACCAAATTTGTGACGGTCACGGGGGAAGGCGTAAGCGCACAAATTAAAAGGAAGTTCAGGGGACGAACTTCAGGGTCGGATATTCTCGGTGTCACCAAGAGTAGCGCAAGATGTAGGTGTCTTTCAACGTGCAGGTTAAAGGGGGATTTAGAAGTAAGCTATCTAACATGAAAGCATCCCTATAGAGGGACGTCGAACGTTTCTAGGCTAAAGGTTCTAAGTTTCGAAGCCTAATCATTGGGTATCGCCCATTCGTGGACGAGCAGGGATGACTTGACGGC